TGTTTCCTGGGGGAGGGAAGGAGGGAGGGAGGGAGGGAAAGAGGGAGGAGCGGAGAAATTCAAGAACGAAGGTCGAAACGAGCCGACCGAGGAGAGGCGCACGTGAAATTTTACTCCATCCCTCTGTCTCCGCGTGAGCGAAATCCGATATAGTTCGACTTTTCGCGAACAAATAGATAAAATAGAGGAAGAAGATCGAGAAAGATCGAAGCTAAGTTCTTAGTGTATTTTTACATTTCGGACCACCCTGTATATATCCCTTGCGCCTCATACACCTGTCCTCCAATTACACCCGCGTACGATACTAGAACTGTAAACACGCGTGGCCACGTACCGGGTGTGCCGATTCGGAAGCAACCGAGCCTCGAGTAAAGTAAACATGGTATTCGGAAAATGCGGGAAGGGAATTTTATGCGAACGAATCTATGCGAGAAAAAGAAGAAAGAGAAGAAGAAGAAGAAGAAGAAGAAGAAGAAAAAGAAAAAGAAGAGGGAAGAGCTCGGGTATTAGCAATAACGGTATCGTTCGAGGATACGAAACGAAGCTGCAGACAGTCACCGATCGTTATTACGGTTTTCCAAGATTTCCGTTAAGCCGCGGGATTATCGAACTTTGTCAATCCTTGCGACAAATCGACTTCTCTCAAAACGAGATTGCGCGTCGAAATGGTGGAACGGAAGGAAGGAAGAAGGAGGGGAAAAAAAAAAAAAAAAGAAAAAAAGAGACGGCGTCCCCTTTCGAACTCGCGACGGGGTAACAACGATACCGGAAGTGTCGGTGGATGACTGTCTGGCCGGAAGCTATTATACTCGTGTCACGAACGGACTGCAACGGCGCGTGTCTCGCGCCGCTTGAATTTAAACCGTACCGTGGTGTAGAGTGCTCGTCCACGTTAAATGAAAATGTTTTTTTTTTTTTTTTCTAACTTTGATCGTACGCGCGACGGGTCACGCATCTTCCTAAATTAATTAATTTAATACAGCGTGTTAATCAGCGAGCAGATTTCCAACGAGCGAAATGAAACCGGTGGTAATTCATTGTCGTTCCCTGCCACACATTTTCTCACGATATTCCGCGATATTCATTCTTCTTTTCCATCACGTAAAAACGCGGAAGAAGAACGATCGAAGGTAACGCGATCGGTAGTTGGAGAAAGAAAAAGAAAATAAAAAAAAAAGGGATATAAATATTTGCCCGAACAAACAAACAATTTCTGTTGAAAAAAAATTCCTTTATATTGAAGAAAAATATCGTCG